TGCCGCTTCTGCTTTTGCTTCTGCCTCCACTCTTGCTGCTTTGCTTCCGGTGCCTGGAAACGTCGACTTCAAACGGAATCATCAAAGGTTCATCGGCTAAGAGTAATATAATTCCTTCGTTACCGTGTATCTGATCTATACAACACGCTATCTCGGTAGATCGCCTACTGTTTGCTTTCGAACAGCTCGTTAGACCGTATCGCAGCTCCAACTGGAGTTCGTGAAACTGAAAGATACGACAACCGTAAAAACGACCTGTCCTTTTCTACGAAAGCGTGACATCGTGGTTGTTTTTTCTTAATCAGCTTATTTTAACTACGTTTTAGTCACGATGCGTGTTCCTGGTCAAAGTACGCTGCACAGCTAGGAAGAATTCCCATGAGACGACACAACGACGAAGGGATTGCTCCTCTCGTTTATTACTGTCGCGCGATACTATAAGGTTGTACGAAAATTAAGAAGAATTTAACTAAAATCAGACTTTTTGATATCTATAACTTCACCGGTCTTCCCTTAAACATCTTTTCGTCCTTTTCGGCAACAAATTATTTAAAATAGCTTTTACAGAATACGCTGGAACATCGATTATCCGAATTCTGTTATTCGAATTCTCTATCATTCAAACATTGTGTCATCCCAACGTTCCATTATGCGAACACGTTTCGCGTATAAAATGTTCAATCTTCCACGAGAATTTTTGTTAACGATCAACGACGCTACTAGCGAAAAGGTGATACGACAACTTCACGAGCAATTAAATTTAACGCATTGCTGTTACATGGTGACATATGCTTGGTTGGGCGTTAAATGTGTGACACGGAAAAGAGCATGAAGTAAACCAGTGAATTACATCGATGAAACCATACGGGAAAAAGTGGACGATAATATTACGACAGATGTAGAAGAAACTCTTCCTGCACTGATTCAATACCGGGATTCGATGGTTGTGATAGCGCTGCGACGCGATAGAATGGTTTCAATGTGACGGATTTACTCGATTGACCATGACACTAAGAGCATTTGAGGCGTTAGAAGTAAAGTTAAGACGGGAGGAGGCACAAAATGAATGTAACTTTGCCGAATTGAATCCGCTAAACAATATTTCTGATTTACCAGGCTAAAAGGTCTTGAGATCCATAAATCTTCGATCGAATCGTATCTGCTTACGTTATTTGTATCGCTATTACGAATAGTTACGTTCTTTTTTGAAATAAATACCCGAAGATAAACATCGGAAAAGTAACTGTTCTATCATCCGAAAATCCCCTCATCTGGACGCTCTTGTCTCTCGACTGGATCGGATAACTGAGATTCTACTGTATTTAATTTTTTGTTTACGTCTTTGTCTCGGCCAGTAACGTTTCCAAAAGAGAAGACTGACGCATACGTCCAAACGCGGTGGCCGAGAGAAGACGATGGAGAAACAACTGATATCGAGTTCATCCTCTCCCCCTGTACCAAGAAGGAAACTTTCTCCTTTTCTTTCATTTTGTTTCTCTTCGACGAGGTTCACGCGCTGCGATCTGCCGTGTCCGCAACTTGTTCGAACATTCGTGGTTCCAGATGGCAGCAGTAGCTGCGGAACGTCGAGAAGATACGGTGTTGATCCGATCCCCTTTTCTCGTCGCTCCTTCCTCGATGTCTTGCTCCTCGCGTCTCGATCTGTTACGCTTCGTCATGTCAGCAGTGTCCTAGTCCATTACCGGGAAACATGTAACATTTAAAAATTGATAAATTGATAAATTCGCGGGATCGTCAGGACGAATGACGAATGCGCGATGCGTAAGCCATACGCGCTTGTCCATCGGTGAAAAATGCCGCGTAATAACGAAACGAATGATCGTGTTTGAATAGAGTACCGGACGGTCGGAATTGCGATGAAAGGATCGCGTCAACCGTAGCCTTTCGTTTTTGCACGGTCGTACGTTATTTTAATGTTTTAATATCGTGTCGGCGCGGCCATTCGCGCAACGTGGTGTCTGGATCGTTCTCGATGCACTTCCCTCGTGTATTTTCCTTCGTCGATCACCCTTTACCCGTATCTTCCTTTCGGACAATCCCTCGCAAACTTTCGAATCTACAAAATTAACCGATTAAGCAATAATCGAAAAGAGAAAAGAAAAGGAAGAATAACTATTAAATACACCAAATTGATGGAATTTTCAGAAAGCTTTTTATCTCTTTGCATTTTTATCTTCGACGTTTAAGGTATGCGGAGCACGAATGGGATAAATTTTCAGAATGGCCTAACAGCTAAATAATGTTCACAGTAGCAAAGGTTTGGAATTGGATTGGGTAAAGTCGAGACACTCGAGTAGCAAGTATTTCGTACAACGATTTGATCGAGCAATTTTTATCTTTACGATTTCTATCTGTGGCATGCTGGACTCGAAACATACGAAATGAAAGAGTTTTCCTTTTTTCTCTTACAGGCCGCGAGCCTGCGAACGAATACGGGAGGAGACTGGACGGCTTGCACTACCGATATCCACTCGCATCGATAGCTATATCGACAGCTATAGAACAGGCGCGCAATGGGAAAGGAAAAGTACACGAGTCGTCGAATTGTATTCTCGCGGCTCCTGGTTCGCGGACGATTTAACATGGGGCCGATAACGACCGGGATAAATCAGCGCCCGTCCGAACGAGGCGCGGTCCGAAATCAATAATAATGGGCAGGAGCCATTAGTAAAATTAATAAATTATGCCTCACATTATGTGCGCATTGTGAGTCGCGCGCGCTAGCACGTCGGGGTAATACGTCGTAAATCATATTAGTGAATAATCCGCATCACCATAACCAGCCGCGCGAGCAACGAGTACGTTTCGCGCAAAGGCAAAAGTCGCGTCGATCCCCTTTCGCTTGTTTGCCAACTCGTATTCCGCTTTGTTCCATGATTTGTCGATCTTTCTCGATTTCTAGCCGGTTCCCGTATCGGCCACGTCGGATACAGCTAGGGCTGTGCTAACGACAGATACCAATAACAATAATGCAAAGCAATAATCGACGAAGATATTCGACAAAAATAGAATCGAACGATCGATCGTTGTATCAGAAGGATACGAGGAGTTTGACGAACAAAGGCGATCGTTAAATTCGATCGCAAGCGCTAAAACCGCATCTTCCATCGTTTGAATGGTCGTGATCGTCGAAACGATAGTCGCATTTACGAATCAGGATAGTCGTAAGACCAGACGGTCAGATGTTGAGGGGATCGGTCGGTCGGTCGGTCAATCGATCGGTTGGTCGGTCTACGTTAGATATCTATCGACGAACGCATAGCTTCCTATTAGCGAAGCATTTCCTACGAACGAGATTCTAGCTTGGTTCGCTTCTGCTCCCCGCTTCGTCCTTCTCACCACCACGTTTGTGTCTCTTCACCGTTCCGCGCTGCACCGTGCCGCGCCACGCCGCGCTACACCGCGCTACGCCGCACCCGTGGGCGATATCGTATAAATGTGTCGTTAATTACTTACCCCGCGGCCGCGACACCACCCTTCTCTTCCACTGGTATTTCTCCTCCCTCTAACCGTCTCCGCCAACCTCCACTACGTCCGCTACCACCACCTCCTCCACCGTCACCCTTCTGTTCCATAGACCCGTCACCTCTACCGACCTGCCTTCCGAGTGTACCACGCTATCCTCCTCTTCCTCCCAAAGCCCCCCGCGCTTGCCTCTTTCTCTTTTCCCACCTTCGATTTGCCCCTCTTACTTTCTCGCTTTGTTCCCTACTGCCACTACCATCGCTGCCACCTCCTCCTTCTCCTTCTCTTCTGTCCCTTTCACCAACCAGTTCTCTCTTTCTCCACCGATTTGACCGTTCCTATCTTCTTTCCGCTATCGGGCTGTTTCTCTACTCTCTCCGCAGAGCCTCATCCTCGCCCTCGTTCTCGTTCTCGTTCTCGTTCTCGTCCTCGTCCTTGCCCTCATCCTCCGCCACGTTATGGCACCGCGTGTTAAGGAAACTAATGTTTATTTGAAAAACTAATTGAACGGGACTCTCGCGTCTACAGCCGGCAATTAAACGAGATTACTGCAGTAGCGCTCGAGCCCCCGTGGGGATTAGATAGCACAGTAAGATATGGAACGCGTAATGTTTAACTA